CCGGCCCGGCTTTCCCAGGACGGAAGAGGGCTTTCCGCCTGTTCCCATGTGTCCCATGGTGCAGTGGGCTTCATTAGTCTAGAAGGACTTCGCATAGAGAGATAGCCTGTGAACATGCTCTAGTAGTTCAACAACAAACATGTTTCTAGGCCTCTATGGGAAGTCCTCGTCCATGCCGCAGACCCATGGAAAGGCCCTGGGTCCAGGCTCGCGCCGTAGGCCAAAGAATGGCTCCTTGACTTCCAGGTTTCGCGCCGCAGGCCGAATCCCGGAGAAAAACCAGTAACTAGCGCTGCAGGCAACAAGATTCTAGTCGAGGTTTAGGCCTGGCTCGCTCCAGCGCCGCAGGCTAAAGAAAAGGTCTTTGACTCAGGCTCCCGCGCCGCAGGCTAAAAAAGAAGGTATTCGAATTCATCGTTCATGGGACGAGGTCCAGTGGAAAGTGCCGCGAAGCGGGCTTTTCCACTGGCTGGAATAAACTAAAAATTCTGTGGTTCATTTTTTAGCGGTAAACGTGAAAATCCCGACCTTCAAAACCCCTGACAGCCAAAATCCCGACATCCAAAATTCTGACGACCAAAATCCTGAGAGCCAGAAACCCCGAGTTTTAAAACCATTTATGGGTAAAACGACTGAAATTTCATTTTGGCTGTCGGGATTTTGAATGTCGGGAGATTATCACTGAAATTCCTATTAGCATTCGAAAACCCTATTCACTGGAATAAACTTAACCAGACAAAATGCGGAAAAGTGAACGATAGAGCCATTTTTGACGTTGCCATCCGTTTTTACACGCTCCAAAAAATCGCCCAAAACCCCGGCCACGCATCGCTAATATTATTCATCAGATCTGGGCAGGCAATATGTCTGTATACAGTCCTGCCCGCCTTGGTCCGGGCCTCAGAAAAGAAGAGGTGTATTTGTGCAGGTGGCCCACACTACTCCGGTTGCGCGCCCAGGGGGAGTCCATTCCGAATAACAGGCCCCTGGCGGATTCGGGCGTCTCCTATTTGGCAAGCCTTGTGTCCGATTTCCGCCTGTCGTCCATGGCCCCGCATCCGGCTCACTCCGCTGCACGCGCTACACAACGATATACACCAAACAACACGAGGATTCTGGGGAATTTAGAGTTGGGGATGGTATTAAAGGGACCGGAAGTTCGGGCTGAGAGACGGGGGGAGAGAGAGAGAGAGAGAGAGAGAGATAGAGAGAGAGCGAGAGAGTGTCATACCAGACGAGACAAAAAGACATCGAAATTTTTCGGCCTGCTGTAGCCTCTCTCTTTCTCTCTCTCTCTCTCTCTCTCTCTCTCTCTCTCTCTCTCTCTCTCTCGCTCTCTCTCGCCCTCAGTCTCCGTCTTTCTCTATGGCATACTAATGCGCGAATTTCATGCAAAAATCCATGCCATGAGTAATCTAACCTTGACAGCCCGGCTAAAGTGAAACCCACCCCTTCAGTCTATTCTCGTCTGCCAGCCGCTCGACCCCGGAAAAATGGTGCTGAGAACAAAATTACAGGGTCCAGAGTGCGAGTCGAGTGCGAGTGGACAAAAATGGGGAAGCTTAGCGACTGAATTCTGGCCATTTGAAAAGAACCAGCGAGGTCACCGGGGTTCAAAACACGCTGAACTTTTGGTCCACATTCAAGAGAAAAAAAGAATTTACGTAAATTACTAGCTGGTTAAGAAATGTCTGATCGCATCGGGAAACTTTCAAAGTTTTTTAAAATAACTCCAAAACCGACAGAGAAATTCCCGACAACGAAATACCGATAGCCAAAATGCCGACAGCGAAGATTCGACAGTCCTAATTTTTGCTAGCAAAATCCCAACAAGCAAAATCCCGACAGCCAAGATGCCGACAGCTAAGATCCCGACATTGAAACTCCTGACAACAAAAACCGAGATCAAAATCCCAACACCCATAATCCCGACATCAAATTTCAGAGAGACAAAATCCAGACAGCTAAAAAAGTCCTGACAATGAAAATCCCGGCATCGCAAACACCGACAGCCAAAATGCCGACAGCTAAGATCCCGACGTCCAAAGCGGTTGTTAAAGGGAAGTGGCATCCGAGTTGCCGTAGTGAATATTCCGGGAGTTGGTTATTGTTGGCGTCGGTATTTTGGCATCGGCATTCGGATTCCCGGGATATTGGCTGGCGGCATTTTGGCCTATCGGTATTATGGGTGGAGTCCCTTCGCTCGCTTAGACGAGGAAAGAGCTCATGACACTGAATTCAACCTCCAAAATGATAGTGAAAATTTTGCGCTTGCCGAAAAACCGGAAAACGCCAAAAATTAGCCAGGAATGGGGTGTGGAGGTCCGGGATGGGATCTGGGCAGAAAATCTCTCAGCGGCTGGGCCGTCGTGGTGTGTCCTTCTGTGGCCTATCTACACGGCGGATCGGCTGGGGGCTTCTGAACCAGAAGAAGCCCTGCCCCGGGCTTGGCGGGTCTAAACGGTGCCCTCTACAGGAGAGAGAGGAAGAGCGGATACATGCCATGGTATACAAAAAACGATCGGCGGGCTCGAACTTTTAATCTCGAAGTGAGGCAAGTCCTGGGCTTTTTTTGGGTATATTTGAATCTGAAGTGAGAGGGATGAAATTTGACGTCAAATGGAACGAAGCGGAACGAAATTGACCCATAATTCTTCAGTTTTGTTAAGGAATTTAGCTAGCTAGTTCTGCACTGCAAGAGTCTCTGCTCGCCTCGCTCGCTCTCTCTCTCTCTCTCTCTCTCTCTCTCTCTCTCTCTCTCCTCTCTCTTCTCGCTCTCTCTAAACCAATAATTTATTAATTAGCATCTAAATAAATTATGTTATTTCGATCTTTGCTTCATTTCCTCCGCGGCTCTGAAATCGTGGCGAATAGACCAAGCTGAGCCGATTTTTGCCCTAAATTAAACAGATATTTTTAACTACCGTATCGCCTACCGTAATCGCGTTGTAGCTCGTGTTATCCACTCTCCCAATCGCTTGGGGTCAATTCAGGTGCGTCGAGCGGCATTTGCATCGACTAAAGGTTTCCGGGTAGAGAGAGAGAGAGAGGAAGAGAGCGAGGGAGAGACGACTTACCGTAAGTGTACTCGAATGTAGTCTGGACACGCCCATTCCGAGAATATACCATTAATGGGACCTCGTTGAGTCAGAGACGAGCCTTTTGAGCTGTGACTCGGAGCAGCAGAACCTAGGAAGAATCACAGGGCATGTTTACGCGAATTTCAACGTATTGTTCGTTTTAAGGGAGTGAGACGACCTTGTGAGCCCCTTTTAAAGGGTGTGGAGACCATTTTTACCTATATCCAACCGGCCGTTTGTCCTTTCTCATCTTCGCCTCAACCCCATCGACGTAACAACCCTCGATGCATTTCCCGGATACTCGAAGGAGGTTGAGCAGGATTTTCTTGCCGGCCGGGGCCTGAAATTCGCAGCTTCGGCTTACTGCCCCTCAAAATCATCTTTCCCCGCCCGTTTTTGACGTCGCGCTCCCTGCAAAACAACTCCAATTTTTTTGGTCCTTTTCATAGCAGTAGCGCTAAGTTCGATCTTACCCTCAACTGGTAGACGCACATCTTATCCTTCAGCGTGTTCCCCGTTTGAACGATGGAGATCTCGAATTTTCTCACCGTTTCCGCCACCTAAATTTGTATATTGATTTTGCGGTATAAATACGTCTAATAATCAACTATCAACTATAATAAAAAAGTAGTGGTGTGCCTCCGTCCGCCCGTCGTGTCCGGGACTCAAACTCGAAGGGGAAAGGAGCTAGAGCTTAGCTCTCTTCGGAATCGGATAGAGCGCGGTCAGAAACCACCAAACTGATAAAAAATTATGAAAAAGTATTAGTTTAAGTTATTAAAATTAACCTTGAAAGTTTTTTCCTTAGTAAAAGGGGTGGGGGACGGAGGTTGGGTGATTTTGGACATAGTGAGCCAGGTCGCGCGCGTTTCGGCGAGGGAGGGAGCGCAGGGAATAGCCGGAAGTCCAGTCGGATCCAGTCGAAGCCGCCGTAAGCAGCTCGTCTCTAAGAAATCGATACCTCAATGACTCCCCACAATTTGGCGAAAATGACGCGGCTACCGTATCGCAAAGCTGCCCACCATAGCCATCGGGACATCTAAAGGCATGCATTTACAAACTCTTTCAGATGGGTTTATTCTAATATTTCCCGTGCTTAAATAGGATAATTTCAGTAATTTTACCGGGTTAAATATTAGCTTTTTGTATGAATTTTTCGACTTACTTGCACTGGGCACAGTTGTTCGGATCAGTGTAGCCACCATTCATGCAAGCGAGTTTTGGGCATTGTTCTTGAGAATCGATATTTTAAATTAGGCACAAATTTACTTACCCGTACATCGATAATGAATATTCAAGGCCAGGACATCCAAAAATGTTGGTTTGTCCATGGAGCCCATCGATTGTTGCAGGAAGGGTCGACCGCGCTCAACGCTGCGACGTTTCGGATTTTTGGAGAATCTGACGCGAAAGATAGGAGAGAAGGAGAGAGAGAGAGAGAGAGAGAGAGAGAGACAGACAGACAGACAGACAGACAGACAGAGAAATACCAAAGTTAAAAATCTGGGACAATCGCAAAAGTTAGGATCTGAAATTTTCCGTAACCTCTAATTTTCCCAGTTTTGGAAATTGCAATCTCGCTGTTTTGAATTTTGTATTTTTATTCAGCGAGACTTTTCAGAAACGCTAGTTCACAAAGTCTCGAAAATCAGAATTTGGAGCATCTCGAATTTTTCCGAATTTTGAGGTCGAATTCAGGAGTTTCGAGTTTCTCTCGCTCTCTCTCTCTCTCTCTGTCCTCTCTCTCGTTTACAACCCACTCTGTCGGCGCGTAATGCATGACACTCCCGACGTCATACGGTAGTTGGTACGTGGCCAGCTCGTGGGGCCCGATCTAAACCTCATCTGTAGCTCCATAAAAATTCGATACCTTTGCAAAATTGTACAATATATCTCGGTCGACGGCTCTCGAATTCAGGGTGACAAATTTGTCCCTATCGTGCCGGGACTGCTCGTGGAAGACGCCGAGGGCATGCGCCAGCTCGTGGCTCGTGACACCAAACTGAAGATATAGAACCCTAAGCCCAAATCTAAGCCTTAGCCGAAGCCTCAGCTTAAGCCTAAGCCTGAGCCCAAGCCCAAGCCTAAGCTCAGCCGAAGGCGGAGCCCAAGCCTAGGCCACAGTCTAAAGCCAAGCCTAGAGTCAAGCCTAAGCCTAAGCCTAACTAGGGAAGTATCTGAACTTGCCATCGAACCTTGAAAAGTCAGATACACCATTCGACGCGCCGTGACGCGAGGATTCCAAATATGTAATAAAATCAACGGGAGCGCATAACGGTCAAAAGTTATGAGGGTTCAAAGTCTGCAAAATGACGAAAAACAGCATCTTTTAGACCCTGTATTATCCCGCGGAATGGAATTTAGTCGAAACTGATTAGTGCTCCTTGTTCAACAAAGAAAGCTCTTTCAAATGAACTATATTACATACGGCTGCCAAAAATTTCCGCAAAAAAATATTTTTGGAATGCAGAGTAAGGGTAGGGCATGGCCAGCTAGCCGAAGACTTTTCGAGAATTTGGCGTAAAGCGCAGGTAAGATAGCTCATTCGAAAGGGAATTTTCTGCTGATCAAGATGTACTGTTCCATTTTTGACAAATTAAATTCTTCGAATTCGCACAGAGCTTTAAAAGGGCGGTTTCCGACGATTTTGCCAACTTTGAGATAGAGAGCGTCCAATTCTGGTTTTGTTGCCGGAGGTTATTTTATCATCGCTGGTGCTTTTTAGGGGCCACACAGTCAAGAAAAACTTATTCCCGAGTTTGGACATGCAATAAGTAGGATCTGGTCAAAAAGCAAAAAATAAAAAATCGTGAGGGGGATCCGAACCCTGGTCATACAGACCAGAGACCCATGCGCACACCACTAGGCCACGAGACCGATGGACAGGGCGCGCTGGGCGGGGCTCTTCTCGCGGTGGCGGATTTCAATGTAAAACTTAAAATGCTCATAACTTTTTACCGTTATGCGCTCCCGTTGATTTTATTACATATTTGGAATCCTCTTGTCACGGCGCATCGAATGGTGTATCTGAGTTCTCGAAGTTCGATGGCAAGTTCAGATACTTCCCTAGTAAGCCGCCCACGCATACTAAACCTTACATGCTCGCATCCCCTTCCAATGCTGACAATCTGTATGGGCTCCGTGTCATCTCTCCCCACAGCTGACCAGCACCCGCTCTCGTAGCCCACAAACTACACCACATCCTTGGATTACGGAAAAATAGTTTAACAAACCCTCAAAAGAAGCTTTCCTTGGTGCGCGGTCGGAACTTGATGCACGTATGCGCGGCCCAGAATCGGATGGCGCGCAGCACGGAGAGACGGGCGACGAGGGCTAAATAGGAGATCAGGCAGGCTAGCAAAGAGTATTGAGGAATTTCTCGAGGGCTGGCTTGCAGCAATTATTTAGGAACCATTAATCTAACTAGCAGTGCCACTTGCAAACTCTAACTCACACAACGAGCTATGCAACTCGTAAGGCACCCCGTCTTGCCAGATCGTTGATGGGTAGAATTCATCCAGGTACGCCTCGCGTTTTTGTCTATAATCTTAAGGGGTGATACGACAAAATGCCGACACAGAATACAAAACTCCTGATAGGCAAAATCCCGGTAAAAACCCCAGTACACGACCTACCGCCCACCAATCGCATTGTCGGCAATTTTTTGCAGCTGCCCAGGTGAGAGTAGCATGTCGCCATCGTAGAGGACGGCCCTAAAAGACAGAGATTTTGAGAATGAGAGAGAAAAAGAGAGAGAGAGAGAGAGCGAGAGAGCGAGAAGAGAGAGATGCAAAGCGCGAGAACGTACTTGTATCGATCGTTCTTCGCCGGAATCGATATCGGCTTCTCCCCGAACGTAATCTTGTCGCTCCAATCCTAAACGAGGACTAGAGAGAGAGAGAGAGAGAGAGAGAGAGCGAGAGGGCGAGAGAGAGTGTGTCTGAGAGAGACAGAGAGAGAGTAAATTCTCAAATGATACGCACATTCTGCTTCCTTTTCCCCTCATAAGCCGCCTCTACCGCCGCCGAAAGCGTGTCGAAAATCCGGATATTTGCATTCGGGCGTATCCGGTCGAAGAGCTAAGTGTTTGCTTTAAATTAGCTCTCGCCACTTTAAGCGGTAATCTTTAAATCATCAAAATCATAAAAATGACTGTTTGAACCTACCGTTTGAACCCCTGCTGCATAATCGCAACAAATTAACAATGACAGCGATACCCCGAGTAATCGATGCATCCCGGTGCGTGGGAATGTGTGATGTGCACCGAGTGTGGATAGGCACAATGTGGAACTTGCGATGGCAGCGTGGGGGTGTCGGCAGTCCTCATTAGGAACTGGTATCACCCCCCCTCCCCCCCTTGCTCAAGGACTTTTCGCCTTTTGCCCCCCGGCGGCATTTCCGCTTGGCTACGTGATGACGGTGGAGCGTCTGGCCGAGAACGGCGAGGAAAAAAGGGACGGGCAACTATGGCCTATAGATTTTGCCCTGGTACCCAACGCGAAGGCCTTGCCAATACCTTTAAAGGGGGCTGATAAGCATAAGGTTTATATTAGCCGTGTGAGAAAAGAGAAAGAGAGAGAGAGAGAGAGATAGAGAGAGAGAGAGAGAGACTGTAGGCTACGGTAAGATTCGTGCAATTCCGGAGCTGTTTCGTTGCTCCGTTTCCATACGCAGGTACGCCCGCGTTTTCTTTTGCCCTTCCCCCCATTCAGTCGCTCTCGCAATTTAAAGCGCGAACATCGACGTTAAAGGGACAGGTTACTTGACATTTCTCGGTATAGAAGGTTTAATAAGCTGAAGTTTGCACGTTTAGTATGATTTAAAGCACTCTTTCCGCTTTAAGGCTCTCTCTCGCGCTCTCTCTGTCTCTCTCTGTCTCTCTCTCGCTCTCTGTCCCTCTCTCTCTCGCTCTTATGCTTGCACTCCTTTCCGAACCGAATCCGGAAAATTCCGCAAGGCAACGCTGTTGCCAATTCTACACCCCATAAAGGCCGGAGGGCCGGCTCCATCAGCGCGCCCGTGCACCGCGCCGTTCTGCCCTAGCCATACTCCACCCTGAACTTGCGCGGCTCCCATTATGCCCTCCTTCCTAATCCACTTTTATCGGGTTCTTCCCGAGACTAAGCCTGGAACCGGCTGCCTTATAGTTTCCGATTTCGCGATTTGCGCTACGCTTGGCCTTTCCTAATCCGTTTTTTCTAATTTCGTAAGGTTGGGCTTATAATTCGGCTTGGGCCTTTAGTGGCTTAGGCTTGATTAAGCTTAGGCTTGGGCGTAAGCATAGACTTGGGCATGGGCTTCGACTTACGCTTTGGCTTAGGTTTAGGCTTAGTGACAAGCTTAGCTTAGCTTCAGCGCAAAACTAACCCAAGCCCAAGTTTGAACACCCTTTTTCATCATGCACATTTCATGTAATAACCCTTGTAATGTTGCTGCTCAGCCTCCCCGTCAATTGGCGCGTAATGGACAGTCCGTTTTCGCGAGCGAGGGTTACCCCTTGGGGGTTTGGGATGGCTCGTGCTCATCCCCTCTTCTCCACCCTTCATCCACTGGGCCAATTATATTTGGTCTATGCTGAAGACGGCTGACCGATCGTCTCTCCAGTCTCTCGAGAACCAGCTGAGAGCCCTTTTTGACTTGTCCGACTTGAATGCTGTGGTCAGGCTCGAAATTGTTCGCCCCAACGAATGCCTACTTCGGCCATTCTCTATTTGCCAAGGTGCGTTTTGTAGTTTTAAATTTTCTGGCTTGAACTTCAACGATTTGACTAGAGTTTGCATTTTTGGCTTTAGTAAATATAACAGCTCTTAAATGCGTCTATTCTTGAACTGTGAACTCCTGTGACATACAACTTCGCAAAATTTTTAGATCTATTTCGATAAATCTTTCGCTATCTCTCGCTGACTGATTTCCCGTATCTAGCTCTCTCTTTCGCTCTCTCTCGCTCTCTCTCTCTCTCTCTCTCTCTCTCTCTCTCTCTCTCTCTCTCTCCTCTCGCTCTCTCTCACTCTCTCGATCTTCCTCTCTCTCTCTCTCTCTCTCTCTCTCTCTCTCTCTCTCTCTCTCTCTCTCTCTCTCTCTCTCTCTCTCTCTCTCTCTCTCTTCTCCCTGTCTATCCCCTCTCTCTATCTCGCTCTCTCGCTCTCTGTCATTATCTCTTTCTCTCTCTCCCTGTCAACCCCTCTCTCTATCTCGCTCTCTCATCCCTCTCACTCCCGCCCTCTCTCTTCCAGCTAAATCCTTTTCCAGCCCGAACTCCTGATGAATGTGCTCCTCTTCCAAATTTTGCTGGCCATCGCCATCTTCCATGTCGTCGACCCGTGTCTCCGCATGCAGTCCTCGTAAGTTTCTATCGTGCTGAAATTAATTTGAATTTTAAAATTGGTATTCTTACATTCTAAGTTTATTTAAGTCAGAATTCATTTATATGGGATATCTGGTATACAGGCAAAATCTTAGAAATCTCCACCGTGTTTTTATTCCAGATCCACTCCGGCGACCACTACAACCACGACCACGTACGTTACAGTTCTCAACTTCGAATTTTTAAGCTTAATTTTAAGACGGAACAAAGCAGTATTATCAATTTTACAATCCAACGTTAGTCGGAGAAAATTAAAATTAGCAAACTATAGCTTTAAGTTTTTTTTTTGATACATTTTGGTTGGGCCAAATGTTTGATTTTTTTTTGTTATATTAGTGCTTGTCGTAGCTGATAGTCAGTGTGCCGTGATGTTACTTTAAACTCAGAAGTTTTTAACGATTTTTGGCTAAAAATTCCTTTGTCGTTAAATTTGTCGTGACTTCGAGTGTGGTATGTGTGGCATTAACAGAACCTCTATAGCACAAAGTCTCCTACGACCACGACAACAAGCACCACAACGACGACCTCTACAACAACCACGTAGTTTGCATGTTTTTTTGGAAGTGCGTGGTTTGTTTAGGACTACGACGAGTACGACAACTACGACGACAACGACTACTACTACGACTACCACTACAACGACAACAACGACGACAACGACAACAACAACGACCACTACGACGACTACAACGACTACAACTACGACTACGACCACCACGACGACCACGACAACGACTACAACTACGTCTACGACGACTACAACAACAACAACAACGACAACAACTACAACTACGACTACTACTACGACTACGACGACAACGACAACGTAGAGTTTTTGTGTGGTTTACTGGCTGGAGTGGTAAACCGTTTTAGAACCAGTGATTAGAATATAACATCGTGTGAGCGTGGATTTAGGACGACGACTACTACCACTACCACAACGACGACTACGACGACTACGACCACAACCACTACTACTACCACAACGACTACTACCACCACAACGACCACGACCACCACAACGACTACAACTACGACTACGACGACCACCACGACTACTACTACTACGTAACACTCTTTCAGTTTCTAACTTTTTGAGTGCCGTTTTACTCCGTTTTTAAACTCAACTATGGTTAGACCTAAAAAGCTCAAAGACGGTGTGCTAAGAAACCTAATGTTGCCAATAATCATAGATTAAAAATCCCTCACATAGCTTTCACAGTGTGGAGATCAGCGTGCCGCTTTCAGAACAACAACTACCACCACGACTACTACGACTACCACTACGACTACCACTACTACGACGACGACCACCACCACCACAACCACGTAACGTTTTGCATAGTTATAAAGTAGTAGTGTGAGTAGAAGAAGTGAAGTGGATTAGAAAAATCAGCAATGCGTTGAAGTGGAGTGTTTTAGGCGTGTATTCGAGTGATGGCCTGTTTTAGGACAACTACGACAACGACCACGACCACGACCACTACGACGACAACGACGACAACTACTACAACGACGACAACTACTACAACGACGACAACTACTACAACGACGACGACTACGACTACAACGACCACGACTACAACAACAACAACGACCACGACGACGACAACAACGACGACAACAACAACAACAACGACAACGACTACGTATCGTTTTCCTTTACAGCTTTTCCCTTATTTTGAAGTGTTGCGTGCAGAGGTCGCTATCCCCGTTTGGTTTTCACTTAATTTTCTTTTCCCAAGTTGTGTAGCATATCTGAACAATTAAAACAGTTCATTCAATGAAAAACGAAGAGCCGCCGGGTGGCTTAAATTCGGTATGCATTTGATCGTTCAAAAATTCACAACGTCAGCTATTAGGAACATCCTACATTTTCTAGGACAACCACCACCACAACGACCACCACGACCACTACGACAACAACCACCACTACGTAGGTTTACGAGGATTTCACAGTTAACCGAAAACAAAACAATAAAATTGGTTTGGATATGATAAATTATGAGTTTAGAACAACAACCACCACAACAACCACCACAACTACTACAGTATTAAGTAAGAAAAAAATAGTTTGTTAATCCGAACTCACCCTTTTTAGCGGGCTGCACCTCTTGCGCGCAGGACTTGATGATAACGCCGGATGACGAGTTGCCGGGTGCGATACCGGGAACTGGTGTATTTACGTACAGGTATGTAATTCCGGGCTTAGGTTTTTATCGGCTTATGGATAGCCTCATCAGAGCTCTATCGCGAAATTCTCTTTTCAGCACCGTCAACGGGTGTTCACAAGCGCAGCTGGTGTGCACGGCCGAGGGATTCGTGCTGGCGGAGGCGAATATTGTAAGTAATTCGGGGCTTTAGGCTTAGGCTTAGGTCTAGGCTTAGGCTTGGGCTTCGGCTTGGGCTTGGGCTTGGGCTTAGGCTTAGGCTTCGCTTAGGCTTAGGCTTAGCTTAGGCTTAGGTTCCTTCTTGGATTAGGCTTAAGCTTACGCTTGAGCTAAGGCTTAGGCTTGGGCTTGGGCTTAGGTTCAGCTTAGGCTTAGCTTAGACCTAGCTTAGACCTAGCTTAGGCTTAGCTTAGGCTTAAGGCTTAGGATTCGGCTTCATCGTGAATTTTAGGGTGGTGAATGGTTCGCTTTCGGCCAGGATTGCCAGATGACAACCCTGGAGGGCAATATCGTATGCAGTGCCGACGGCATCTGGCAATTCGAGCCGGACGTCCAGATGGGGACTTTTGTAAGTTTATGATTTTTTTAAATGTCTTAGGCATCTGACCTGGTTCAAGACGCTTTCGAAAAGCAGCTCTCAAAAATTGCATATTTTAGTACTCTCCCGTACAATACGCGTGCACGCAAGCCAGTCCGACCTGCTAAAAAACCCTGAAAAATCGATTCGTCCCGCCGGATGCAATACTTCCATGGTGCTCTAAAATTGACAATACGGGCTTATTTATGTCTTTCCAAATATTTTCTTATGAAAAAGTGTACTATGCAGTTTTTCATTGGTTTTTTTTACTATGGTAATAAAGAGATACTTTTTATAAACGTAGAAAACCGTAGTTTTTAAGCTTCAGACACACGCACGCAACTCGAAACGTAACGCGGCCGTCCGTCTTTAGATTGCGTAATCGCTTAGGCTTAGGCTTAGGTTGAGGCTGAGGCACGGGAATAGGCTTAGGCTTAGGCTCAGGCTTCGGCTTGGATTAAGCTTAGGCTTAGGCTTGGGCTTCGGCTTAGGCTTACGCTTAGGATTTGGCTTAAGCTTAGAAATAGGCTTAGGCTCAGGCTTAGGCTTAGGCTTAGGCTTAGGCTCAGGCTTAGGCTTAGGCTTAGGCTTAGGCTCAGGCTTAAACTTAGGCCTAGGCTTAGCTCTCATGAATTTCCAAAGTTTTCTAGCCCTAGCCTTCGACTCCAGCTACCTTTCCCTCCATGCAAAACTACACCAATCTGCCCCCCCTTGGCCTGCAACACACCCATACATCAGCGTTATCGGTTTGAGCTCGAAAGTGCTGGAGAGAGAGGCCACGCAGTTGGGAGCTTGATTTACGGCCAAGCCACTCGGCGACGACGTGGCTTATCTATGGCACAAATGGCCAAAAAATAGGGCTCATCAAGAAAACAATCAGCTTTCGGGAAGCAAGGTGGACTCCAGGTGGAAGGGCAGAGACAAGAGACAAACTTCTGGTTATCACTGGGCGCGGGACGTCAGAGAGAGAGGGCGAGAGTGAGAGTGAGAGAGAGAGAGAGAGAGAGAGAGAGGGAGAGGGAGAGAGAGTTGCCAAAAGATTTGATGGCGTGTACGCTCAGACCGAGCTCGTTCTGAGGGAAGATGAGGTAACTTGACGTCGCTAAAGTCCTACTTAGGCAGAGCAAGCCTGATCATAAGCCTAAGCCTCAGCATAGTCGTAAGCCCAGGCCCAAGCCTAAGCCCAAGCCTGAGCCTATGTCTAAGTTTAAGCGGGCCTAAGTCTACGCCTGAAACTAAACCTAAGCCAAAGCTTAAATCCGAACCCAAGCCTTAGCCTAAGTCCAAGCCAAGCCTAAGCCTAAGAGCAAACCAAGTCCAACGCTAAGCCTGAGCCTAAGCCTGCCCTAAGCCTTCCACCTCATTTTCCATCTTCTTGAATTTTTGTATGTATCTGAATTGAAATCATACTTTGCCTGTTACACCATTATATCATAGAATTCGTTTATTTACAGGCGTTACTACCCGGAGTAAGCGAGTGCATTTAGAAATATCGCTCTCCGCGCACCGGCTGCTCCTGCTCGGGCATGTGGCTGGGCATGTGGCTGGGGTGGGTGGGCTCGGTTCCCATGCACTCGCCGACGTCGGCGCACGTCTGCCACGCGTCCTTGCCTGGAGAATATGGATTTAAAGGTATCTCCTGGATGGTATTAGATCGAGAACTACTGTATTCTTGTCAAAATCGTTCTTTTTAATGTTCTAATCAATTAGTTCATCTACTAAATCCCAATTTTTTTTATCAGAAAAGCAGGGTTTTGTAGGTCTATCAAGGTATATAAGGGTATTGTTAATTAAGAACATCCGACTTTTAGATCGTAATTAGATAAACTCCGTGCCCAAGCCATTTTAAAGGTAGTTAAGGTATCTAAAGGTAGACATGCCAAAAAATAGTGGTTTTTAGAGCTATTTAAACTACCTGAAAAATAGCACTACTTCTCTAAAACCAGGAATTTCGTGTCGTAAGCAGCTCAACTCTCTGAGAAGGCCGATCGACTACTACCACGCGTGGCACAACAACTCACCGGTGGTCAGGTCGGTGTAGATCTTGTCAATGTTGGCCTGCACGCCGGCCTGGCAGTTCTTGACGGCCTGGTCACCGTAGAAGCGGCGGAGGGAGTTGCAGTCCTGAATGTAAGGATTATATTGCGTAATCGGAAAATCGTGACTTAGGTAACCTTCGTAGCATTAGCTTTTAAAATCTGGTTGACTTCAAATAAAAAGTTAAGGAGCTTAATCTAACCTGTTGGAGCTCCTTGAGGAGGGCGGCCTTGTCGGTGATGTTGTTGTGGAAGTGGTGGCGGGCCTGGTTGACGATGAAGTCGCACATCATGCATGGCGACGGGGTGTTTTGCTGAAAATATAGAGGTAGATTAGCATACCATCGCTTACAAGGAGTGCCCTTTTAGTGTCATCGGCAAAACCTTTTGCGACCTAGCTCATTCGATAGAGAATTGAATTCTGAACCAGCTCCCGTTGTTCGTTTTTGCGGAAGGGCTGCCTCCGATTTTATAAATTTAAAAAACTAAAAAGAGCATTTTTGGGCCTTGATGCTCGCGCCACCCCAAAGATCACCCCCGGGGGAAGAGCCGCTCTGACCATTCCCCACCACCAGTAAGCGTGGCGCAGTGGCTAACACCACGGCCAACCAAACTTTTTTGCGACTCAGGCAAAAGTTCGAAACTCAAATCAACAATTCTTTTGCTTTTTGAATTTTGATTGCGCTGGGTTCATAGGTCAACCGCCATTTTATTTTAAGCAGAGACAATCGAACAGTCCTTTGTGAAAAAGCCTATGTTTTTGAAAACCATGTGCTAAATAAGAATCTAGTTGGTGCAAGCCGGCTTTTCGCAAAAATACACATGAAGCGGCCACAAGGGGTTTCAAGCGTAACCTTATTCAAAAAGCAAAAAGAATTGTTGATGTGATTTTCGAACTTTTGCCTGAATCGCAAAAAAGTGCGGCAGGCCGTGGTGTTAGCCACTGCGCCACGCTTACTGGTCGTAGGGAGAGGTCAGAGCGGCTCTTCCCCCGGGGGTGATCTTTGGGGTGGCGCGAGGATCGAGACCCAAAAATGCTGTTTTTAGTTTTTTTAATTTTATAAAATCGGAGGCAGCCATTCCGCAAAAACGAACAACGGGAGCTTGTTCAGAATTCAATTCTCTATCGAATGAGCTAGGTCGCAAAAGGTTTTGCCGATGACACTAAAAGGGCACTCCTTGTTGGCTAGGCTTAGGCTTGCGCTTAGGCTTAGGCTTAAGCTTAGGCTAAGGTTTAGGCTTCGCTTCGCTTCGTCTTACAGATTTTCTGTACTTCCAAATCTTACTTACCGCATAAACGGCAATGACAGCCAGGGCTGAGACGGCGAAGATGTAGCGGAGCATGTTTAGAGTGTTGGACTGGGCTGAGAGACCGAGCTGGCCTCCCGTTCTAAACCGTGGCTTTTATACCGTAGCCCCACATGCACCCGCCGCGTCACGGGCCATTCGCTACCTGGCGATAACGGCAGATAAAAAAATTCAGGCGGCGCGGAAAATCGAGCAAACGCGAGGCTGATCTATGCCGTCGAGATAAAGACCCGGACACGATGGATTAACGGATTAATTGGTAGCTGCTAATGGTTGGGGGTGGCATATCCGGTACGAGATCACGAACTCACTAGGGAAGTGCAAATAAAATGTTATGCTCCCCGGTGATGCCAAATTTTTTGCTTTTTGGTCAAAGTCAAGAACTTTAGACTTTTTCAAAGTTTCAAAGTCGAAAAGCCCTTTCCCTTAATTTTTAAATTCATGAAACCGATTACGAAGTGGTGGCGGGAGTGCAAGTACTGCCCTACCCGTACGCCCGTACGGGAGTACGGGTAGGGCACTAAAAAAATTCACCTGTTTTTTCGTAAGGTAAGCCTACGCGCAGTCAATAGTAAAGAAAATGTTCAAAAATTTAAATTTCGGACTTCGAAACTTTGAAGAAGTCTAAAGTTCTTGACTTTGACCAAAAAGCAAAAAATTTGGCATGACCGGGGAGCCGAACCAAAGACCCTCCGCCCCAGGGGCAGGCGGCTCCCCGACACTTGCGGCGCGGACACTTGCGGCGCGACACTTGCGCCCGACACTTGCGGCGCGACATTTGCGGCGCGACACTTGCGCCCGACACTTGCGGCGCGGTCATTTGCGGCGCGACACTTGCGGCGCGACACTTGCGCCCGACACTTGCGGCGCGGACACTTGCGGCGCGACACTTGCGCCCTACACTTGCGGCGCGACATTTGCGGCGCGACACTTGCGGCGCGACACTTGCGGCGCGACACTTGCGCCCGACACTTGCGGCGCGACATTTGCGGCGCGACACTTGCGCCCGACACTTGCGGCGCGACACTTGCGCCCGACACTTGCGGCGCGACATTTGCGGCGCGACACTTGCGCCCGACACTTGCGGCGCGGTCATTTGCGGCGCGACACTTGCGGCGCGACACTTGCGCCCGACACTTGCGGCGCGACATTTGCGGCGCGACACTTGCGCCCGACACTTGCGGCGCGACACTTGCGCCCGACACTTGCGGCGCAGCATTAATTATTTTTAAATGTTGTAAATTTAGCATTTCTTCACGGATTTTGTTTCTAATTGTTGGATTTGTGTTCCAAATTAGCAATTTAACCGGCCCGCAGTCGGAACCCCCCTGGGGGCGTCAGGCAAGGTGGGCCGTCGCTTCGGATGGGCTGCCGCTCCACTCTTTCTAAATCGGGGCGCCTGGGCGCTTCGCGCTCCTCGGGCGCCCCGATTTAGAAACCCTGTACGAGCTCGCACCCATCCGAAGCGACTAGGCCCCGGGTGGCACGAAGCCTTTTTCTAGTCGCAGAGCGGAGGAAGTAGCGGCCACTTTCCCTCCAAATTGAGTGACTTCGGTCGCAAACCCGACTTTTTATATTTTTTTAATACCAAATTCGGATGCAGCTTATCAAATAACACCGGAAACTATTTTTCTATAGCTTATGCTAAATAACCGCAAGGTCGCGCCGCAAGTGTCGCGCCGCAAGTGTCGGGCGCAAGTGTCGGGCGCAAGTGTCGCGCCGCAAGTGTCGCGCCGCAAGTGTCGCGCCGCAAGTGTCGGGCGCAAGTGTCGCGCCGCAAATGTCGCGCCGCAAGTGTCGGGCGCAAGTGTCGGGCGCAAGTGTCGCGCCGCAAGTGTCGCGCCGCAAGTGTCGCAGCCGCAAGTGTCGCGCCGCAAGTGTCGCGCCGCAAGTGTCGCGCCGCAAGTGTCGCAGCCGCAAGTGTCGCGCCGCAAGTGTCGCGCCGCAAGTGTCCGCGCCGCAAGTGTCGCGCCGCAAGTGTCGCGCCGCAAGTGTCGCAGCCGCAAGTGTCGCGCCGCAAGTGTCGGGCGCAAGTGTCGCGCCGCAAATGTCGCGCCGCAAATGTCGCGCCGCAAATGTCGCGCCGCAAATGTCGCGCCGCAAATGTCGCGCCGCAAGTGTCGGGCGCAAGTGTCGGGCGCAAGTGTCGGGCGCAAGTGTCGCGCCGCAAGTGTCCGCGCCGCAAGTGTCGCGCCGCAAGTGTCGCGCCGCAAGTGTCGCAGCCGCAAGTGTCGCGCCGCAAGTGTCGGGCGCAAGTGTCGCGCCGCAAATGTCGCGCCGCAAGTGTCGGGCGCAAGTGTCGCGCCGCAAGTGTCGCGCCGCAAGTGTCGCAGCCGCAAGTGTCGCGCCGCAAGTGTCGCGCCGCAAGTGTCGCGCCGCAAGTGTCGCGCCGCAAGTGTCGCAGCCGCAAGTGTCGCGCCGCAAGTGTCGCGCCGCAAGTGTCCGCGCCGCAAGTGTCGCGGTACCGGGCAGGCTAGTTAGCCACTACACCGCTCGACATGCGGACACCCGGCTTTGGGAGGGGCTCATAAGGGAGGGCGAGAAAAGTGCTGTAAACTTAAAATGCTCATAACTTTTTTGTATTAAGCGTTTTGCAAATTCTGATTGCAGTTTCGGAATCCCCGTCGTCGACTCTATCAGACCCATATTTTTGCTAAGCGATTTTCCAGATTTTTTATTTGCACTTCCCTAGTCAGGCGCTGGGGGACTCAGGAGTTGAACTTTGGCAGGATGACTGAACCCGGTTATTCGATGGACTCTCGGCTAGGTCCGAAGGTCCGATAAACAAGAAAATTCGGTTCCTTTGCATTATCGGGGGGGGGGGCGTTGAACCCATTTTTCCTATAAGTTCAGATATGTCTAGTAACTTAACAATAGGTGCTTTAATCGTTATTTTAGCGAAATTTAAGTACGCCATGAAAAGGCTGCAATTACTTTGAAATTTTGGATAAATATCGACCATTTTCCGTCGAAAAATCCTTATTTTTTCGTCGTTTTTTAATGAAAATTTGTAAAGTTTTTGGGGTTAAGACTTTCCAAAAAAAAGCTTACAAAAAAGAACGACTTCACTATTGCTATTAGAAAAATTGGATGTCTAGGAAAAGTTCGCCCACCCCCCCGATAATGTAAAAGAACCAAAAATTCTGAGCAAGGTGACGCTTGTCAGATTTTCCTAGTCCTCGATTATGAATAATCTCGGATTTTAAAGTTATCGACACGTTTCCACGATGTCCCGACAGACTACAGCTAACTGTAAAAGTACGGGACACTACAATACACTTCCGATCACAGGCTGATATCAAATTGAGTCTTGTCACTTTGATAGTTCCAGGTCGTATTCTAGTTATTCGGTATAAAGGCGTCGTCTCTGTGTTAAACGAGCTCTCTCCCTCTCTCTCTCTTTCTTTCTCTCTCACTCTCTCGCCCTCTCTCTCTGTCTCTCTCCCGTTTTCTCCTCTAAACGTCCCCAGATGCTCGCAACTTCCCACTTTTTGATCCGACCCGGATCCAATCTGTACGCGGCCACACCTAGAGGACAAAGACGCTTCTGGAGGGGGGATTAACGTTGACGTTGGAAATTGATAAGGTTCGAATCTGGGGGGAACGGTTTATAAGCTCAACAAGTGAAGGGAGAGACGCTGCTGTCGCACCCCCAACAATCAAAACACTAAAAATGCTGAAGTACCTGCTGCTCGTCGCTTTCGCCGCCGTCGTTGTCATTGCGGTAAGTTGAGCTTTTAAAGCCTAAGCCAAGCCCAAGCCCAAGCCTAACCCCAAGCCTAATAAACCTAAGCCCGAGCTTAAGCCTAAGCCTAAAACAAAGCAGAGCCTTACTCCGAAGTTTCAGCAACGCGGCCACGACCCGTGCCACGACTGCGACTTCGTCATCCGCCAAGCCGAGCACCACTTCCACAACAACATCACCGACAAGACGGCGCTGAAGCAGGAGCTGCTCGTCGAGTGCCAATGGCTTGGTCGCCGGGAGGGACAGCAGGCTGCTGCCCACTGCACTGATGTTGTTAACAAGCAGGTAAGAAACTCATGCTCAATCGGAACTTAAGCAAAATCTAAGCCTAAGCCAAGCCTGAGTTAAATTCATGCGAGGCCCATGCTAACAAGGAGTCGCTTTTAGGTGCTTTTGGAGTTTCGGGACGGGACCTAGCTAGTTCGATAGAGAAAAAAATTTTGAGCAACATCCCTTTTTCAAAAAGTGCTGATCGATAAAGGTGTTTTAGAAAATTTAATTTAATTAAAAATGTTCCCGGTGTCCGGACCCTTGAGGTGATTTGAGGTGATTTGCGGCGGTCGACCGCCCGCCACATGAGGACTCCACGCGCCTTGGATCCGTCCTAGGCATGGCCAAGTGGCTAGTGCGATGGCCTAGGAATTTTTTTGACCTTTTGCCACAAGTTCGATTCCTATTTATCGTTAACTCTTTGCTTTTTTGCTAATTAAAATTTTATGCACCGATAACGGGTTCAAGAACCAAAAAGCAAAGGGTTAGCGAGCGCGAAGATTCGAACCCGAGGCGAAAAAATGTTAAAAAGTTGGTAGGCAAGCGCGCTACCAATACGCCAATGCAACCTGTGATGGAGGCATTGGCGGAGGGTTACGAATGGCGCCCTACCAAGCCCCGAAAACGACGTGCACCGAGGAAATGGACCCGAAAACTAGAAAAAAGCGCGAACTTTAAATTAAATTTTCTAAAACAGCTTTATCGATCAGCACTTTTTGAAAACGGAATGTTGCTCAGAATTTTTTTTCTCTATCGAACTAGCTAAGTCCCGTCCCGAAACTCCAAAAGCACCTAAAAGCGACTCCTTGTAAGCCTACGCTAAGCCACGATGAAGCCTAACCTAGGCCTAATCCTATGCGAAGTCTAGGCTTAGGCGTTCCTAAGCCTAAAACCTAAACCTGCTAAGCCGAACCCAAGCCTAAACGTGCTCATCCTCCATCTTCCAGATCGACAAGATCTTCGCCGACCTCCAGGCAGGTGACCGTATCTGGCAGACATGCGAAGACATCGGCGAGTGCCAGCCTCACACCGGCGGAACCCGCCCGATTCCCGCCTCAACTCCTCAGGCCCCCAGGCAGATGAAGCAGCGCCACTAGAATATCGAATTTTATCTGGGAATGTAAATAAATGCTTGAATTTCGCATTGGCGCTAAAGATAGTAATCGCCATGTATCAAACAACTATTAAAAAGTAAAAAACCCCAGATTTAGGCAATCACACTATCACGACGTTCGTTTTTAAGAAACTCGTAGTGATATAAAAAAAAACTTAGAAGAAGACATCCGCTTTTCTTTTTTCGAGAGCTTTTGAGTGGTGTAACAACCATTCGGACCCGAGATTCCACCGCCCTGTTAGCAGTAGTGCTTTTTGAGGGACGCTCACTATGATAATAATTGTAGGTTTCCCATCCAACCCATACCTGAATAACGCCATTAATGCAGCACTCTCTCACTGGAGTCTCCTCACACCTGCGCGAACTCGCTCTTATTGACCTCCAAGGCTGTTCTTTGGGCCTCGAGTGGCGGTGGTGTATTGGCTAAGGCTGGGGCTGGCACGCGAAAGTCCCTGGTTCGACCCCCGTCCGCGGCGATGACGATATCGTTCAGAGTTGATGGACGGTCCCAGGGTCTATCCATCGGGGATGCACCCTCGTCCAAGTGATTCTTGGACTAATCTTCTCTCTGAGCCGCATTTTAGAGGGCTTGGAAGTGAGCGGCTTCGAAACCTCTTAAAAATCGTAACTAACAGGAAAGGAGACTTGCCAGCTCGAAGTTCGACTTTGCTTTGTGAGATAATCCTGCTGATGCAGTTTTTTACGCTGATTCCGTATATGCAGCTCATTTTTGCCTTGGCCTTTTAATTTTGGAGATATAAACTGTTTCTGATAGCAAAGCAATTTACCGGGCCGGGATGAAAAACCATGGGGAATCCGATCCGAGAAAATCAAATTTTAATCGTTCGTTCGTTGTTGTCGTTGCGTCATAAATCGTTATTTTTATTTTTTAAGAAACTTGCCGGCGGTTGGTCCAAAGTAGTGTACAGCATTGTTCGGCTTTAAGAATTTGGTGGCTTTCGAAGCTCAGCGGTCCATTTTTGGTCGCAGACTGGTAGTTTTTACCGTAATAACGAGCAAAACTCGAAAACTAAAGGGTCGTTGCAAAAATGAGCTGCATATTTGGAATCAGCGTAAAAACTGCATCAGACGAACTGCCTCACTAACCAAAGTTGAACGTCGAGCCGGTGGGGATTCCTTGCAAGCCTAAGCTGATCTTAAACCTAAGCGTAGACTTAAGCCGAAGCCTAAGCCTAAGCCTGACTAAAACTACGCCTAAGCTTCAACCCACGCATCCGCCATAATTCCTTTGATGTCTTGACCCCCGTCCAAAATGACCTAACAAACCACACGCCCCGCGTATCACTTTTCCATTTTGTTGTCCACACGTTTGATACAGTTCAGGCTTCTGCTCTGGCTGGCCGTCACTAATCCCGTTAAGCCCAGATCCGGGACTCCTTATCTCTGGCTCTCTCGCATTTTCCCGCTCTCTCGCCATCAGCCGACAGCTTTGCCATTTCCCACGACTCTGATAGCACGTCGAGAAACATCGAGGGCTACAATCAGTGTATATAAGCAGAATTTTACGGCTGAAAATTCGGAATACCCCAAAAACACAGCAAAGATGAAATTCGTCCTTGCCCTCGCCGCCGTCGTTGTTGTTGCCCTGGCCGTGAGTTTTTGCGGTTTTTTAGGGTTTTTGTGATATGAAAAATGTCTTTCAACGTCTTTGATATGTTTAAAGGGATATGGAAATCATCTATAGATGTTTTTCGAGGTTTTTGAACTCCAGAATAGTCATAAATTTTTATTAAGTATGTTCGATGTCTTAAAAAAAAGCATGCACACCACTATACAGTTCTTATAGAATATTTAATGGACTAGAATAAGTAAGGCCTTCTATAGATACCTGATAGATACGATTAAAGGGACCGGAACCCTAAGGATACTGTAAAATTTTGTACTAAAATATCTACAAAATGATAACAGCATACGAAAATGGCCAGAAGGTAACGTCACTAGGAGCGCAACGTGTTTACTTTCGAAACGCTCGTTATGGTATCTGATTTGTCTCGCCGTCACAATCCCTTTAAACCGAAGAGTTATGGAATTTTTTATTTGGCATTTAAGATTTTCTGCAATCGTAGCACCATATCAGGGGAGTAAGCGTTTTTAGCTATCGTAATTTTAGGCATAAATGGGTTAAATCAAGAAAATTTGGTTTTTGGGAGAACCTGTACGGCCGCATTATGTGTATTAGTTTTTTTGAAACATTCCTTACCACCCCATTTTCAGCAACGGCCGACCCCTGGCCCGTGCCAGATCTGCGACTACCTGATCGCCCAGGCCGTCCACCACTTCCACAACAACATCAACGACAAGGGAGCCCTTCTCACCCAGCTCACCCAGGTATGCCTTATCAGACTAACTAATATATCTATTACAAAACTTGCTTAACTTAACCTTTTTGGCTTTAATAAATTGATAGAGCCAAGTACTTTTCAATTCCTTGGTCATCTGCCATGTACCACGTTTTATAGGAGTGCAACGAGCTCGGCCGCTACGAGGGCCAGGATGCCGTCACCCAGTGCAAGGCCATGGTTGCCGCCCAGATTGACACCATCTACGCTGATCTGACCGCTGGTACGGGGATTTCTTTTTATCTTTCTCACTCACTCTCACTCTCTCGCTCTCGCTCTCGCTCTCTCTCTCCCTCGCTCTCTCTCGACGTATTCTAATATTTTCTCTTCAGGAAAGGACCCGTGGCAGACGTGCTTCGATCTGCATGAGTGCTTCGGAACCGAGCCCACCCACGGAACTCGCCCCAGCCAGGGCCCCGAGGCCGTCGCCCGTGGTGCTCGCTATTTCTAGATAGTGACTACCACCACTCACCATCGCTGACTAATAAAGCATTGATGATGTAAATAAAGCTGATGCTATGCTTTGAGCACGAGATAGCGAAAGAGAGATAGAGAGTGCGAGAGATAGGGAGAACGAGTGATGGAGAGAGAGAAAGATATAGGGATAGAAAGAGAGGGCGAGCGAAAGAAAGAAAAAGAGAGAGAGATGGTGAGAGAGAGAGCGAGAGAGAGCGAGAGAGAGGGTACGCAAGATAGAGAAAGAGCAAACAATAGTCCCAAAAATCTAGGAGAACACAGCCCCCATTCAAACGACCAACATTACAAAAAGTCCTTGATCACTAGCTTCTGCTTCCTCCCCCCCTTCAATTTCCCCAACACCAACAAGTTCCGTAAACGGTTTTCCGCGCCCCGAGGGGGGGGGGGGGGTTGGTTGAGTTTTGAGATCTGTTGGAGGATAGAGTGAAGGCCGAGACTCACTTTCTCTCACTCTCCCTGGCTCGTTCTCTCTCTCTCTCACCCTCACTCTCTCTCTGACTCTCCCACTCCAACCCCCGACTTACAGTCCATGACCGATCCCATCACTTTTGCTTTGCCTTTCGCCTTTCACCACCTCCTACCAGCTATCTGTCTCCAAACCATCAGCGCATCGCAAAGGGGCATTTATCGCGTTTGGTTGTTAACGCTTGCTAATGGCACTTCTACCTTTTTGCAAGTTTTTTTTTGAATTATTACTAAAAATCTGAACTCCTCAAGGCGCCCTATATAGATAGAAATTCCAATATCAAAACCTTGTTCCTTCCCTCAAGTATCTCTGCTAGTTTGCCCTCATTTGAAGGTTTCAACTGGTAGATATGTTGTTTCGAATGTTCCCCTGCTAGACCGCTGCGTGTTTTCGATTCCAAAGGAATCTCTGCTATCTTGCCCTGTTGATTTTGGGTTCCCCAAGGGGTTTCTGCTGGCAGACCCTTTTATTTTCCCCAAGTTTTCTCTGCTAGCCTGCCGTGCAAGTTTTGAAATCCGAAAGGATGCCTGCTAGCTTTGCCCCTAAGAAAATTCAGCTAGCCAACTTCCATTTATGCCATCCCCTTCCGTTAAAAAATTTCGGTTGCCCAATATCCTCTTTTGCTTCCCCAAAGAATCTATGCTAAGGAAATTTCGGTTTCCGAGCATCGCTGCTAGCCTGCTTTGTTGAATTTCGACTCCTAAAGGCTCTTCGCTTGCTCTCCCTCCTAAAAGGCTTCCGCTAGCTAACACCTTCTTTCTCTTCGCAATGGTTCTCTGCTAGTTTTCCTCAACTCTAGAAGCTACAGAAAAGTTCCGCCATGCTCCAACGTTCGACCCGCCAAATCTCGCGTCAAAAATCTTGAGGGTCCTGGAACCCCATTAGGCCGGAAGCACTTTTCTAGCCAAATTGGCCCTGAGCTGAGGGAGAGAGACAGCGAGAGAGAGAGAGACAGAGAGAGAGAGAGGGGGGGAGAAACCGCTCGGCAATTTGCGACCAATTTCAACCAGTTTACCTCCGGATTTTCAGCTTCTGCTTTTGGCGCGGGCTTTTAAGCTCGAAAAATTTCCAAAGATTTTTTTATCCCACGCCCGCACTAGCTACAATTGTCTGGGATTCTAATTAGAGAAGTTCCCGGTTTCGGTCAAAGTAGATTTTCACCAAAAACTTGTTTTTTGCTTTTGGTTTTACGTTTTCACCTGGCGTCAAGCTTTGAGTTTTTCGGAACTTGACGGACCTCAAATTATCTTTTCTGTATGGGCTGACGCTTAAGCTTAGGTTTCAGCTTATGCTTAGCTTAGGCTTAGGCTTAGGATTATTGTTAGACTTAGGCTTGGGCTTGGTGTTGCTTGTGTTTATACACTTTAACGGTTTGCAAAAATCGCCCAACTTCCAAATTTTATGGCTTCCCATTCCGATTTCCACTTTTTCAATTCCTCATAGTAATCCGCAGTCTATTTTTTTCCTTGAGACACGACGCAATGTGACAGAAATGTAACCACGAACTAAGCCCCCATTTCCATTCCCTTGGCTCTTTTTCTCAGCCTTTTTTGGGGCGTGAATTTGGCATCAGGAGCAAATGAGATTCCCCACGCCCCCCTCGGTCTGAGTGAGCGAGAGAGAGAGAGAGAGAGAGAGAGAGAGAGAGAGAGAGAGAGAGAAGGAGAGATTCGCTGTGCATGGGTTCTTTTTTTGCGGTTTTTTAATTTTTGGTGCCAAGGATGTCGGATTTTTGATCATACAGTAGCGGCCAAAAGTTTGTACCGGCCTTGCCTCGCATTCTAAAATTTGCCCCAGAATCTCGAAGAAAGGCTCCGAAATTCTATTCTTTTGGGAATTATATCTTCTAAGGCTGTATTTTATAATACGAAAATCCCTATGCAATTTCAAACTGTATTTGGCTTTAAAAGTCGATTCTTAAAGAGAGGGCGAAAAGAGGTTAGGTCAAAAGTTTGTACCGACCATCTTTCAAAATGCGATAAAAGGCTAAATAATGTAGTTTAGGCTTCAATTCTACTACTGACGTATATTATTTGCCAGTATCTGCCGTTTTGCATTCATAGAACAGCCCAAAAAACTCCAGGGAAATTTTTGAAAAATTCGATTTTAGTATGAGAAATGTGGTTTTTCGACCGTAACATTCGAATATGCAATATTATTGTGGCTTTTTAAAAGGCATCTGAAAGAGCATAGAAAAACACACATTTCCATGGTAAAAAGCCTTCGAGAAGTTGGGGTCCCACTGGGTTACCCTTCGGTAAAGTTTGAAGGCGGCGGTTTTCATAGTAAATTGGTACTTTTCCGCGCGGATGGGCTTATTAAATGCGTAACTCCTCCGCCTCGGGGGATTGCCTGTTAACATCTATATGAAAATGTGTGTTTTCGGATGCTGTTTCCGATCGTATATAATAATTGCAAATTAACTGCACTTTTCAGCCGGTATGCTCGAAAAACCACATTTCCCATATTAGAATCGAATTTTTCGAAAATTTCCCTGGAGTTTTTTGGGCTGTTCTATGAAGGCAAAACGGCAGATACTGGCAAATAATATCCGTCAGTAGTAGAATTGAAGCCTAAACTACATTATTTAGACTTTTATCGCATTTTGAAAGATGGTCGGTACAAACTTTTGACCTAACCTCTTTTCGCCCTCTCTTTAAGAATCGACTTTTAAAGCCAAATACAGTTTGAAATTGCATAGGGATTTTCGTATTATAAAATACAGCCTTAGAAGATATAATTCCCAAAAGAATAGAATTTCGGAGCCTTTCTTCGAGATTCTGGGGCAAATTTTAGAATGCGAGGCAAGGCCGGTACAAACTTTTGGCCGCTACTGTAGTTAGTTTAAAAGGTAATTTATCGATACTTCTCTCTTTCTCGCTCATTCGATGTCTCTCATCTTTCTCTCTCTCTTACGCTCTCCCCTCTCGCTTACTCTCGCCCTAGCATTAATGATAAAGCATACCAGGTTCCATCCACGCCGTAATCTTGTAAAAATGCCTTGCCCTTCGGTGATCCAATTTTTCGCGCCCCACCCCCCGCTGATTTATGATGAGGTTTATTCGCGTTTTTCGTGGTCGGCTCCACCATGCTCCAACCGAACACCTGCCCGGCCGAATTTAATTTGGGGCTGTGGGTGAAAATTGGATGATTTTTGATGGGATGTGCTTGGGTCTTGCGATCCAGGATAGTTGCACTTGAGAGGCGAAATCTGTTTCTTACAGGCAGGGACGTAGCGTAAGGTGGGCCCCCTGGGCCCGGGCCCCCGAAATCGGCCGGGGCCCGAAAATTTCATAAGGGGGGACCCTTATGATTTTTATTTTCTCAAAAATTTTGCTGCCTGCGGCGCTATTTTTACACGTTTTTACTGCTATTTGTAAAGCTATCCAACCCTTTTTCCAAAATTTTTCGCCTGCGGCGTTGTTTTTGCCTTAATTTTTTGAGTTTTTCGGAAAAAATTTTTCGGGGCCCCCCCGAAATTTTTTTCTGGCTACGCCCCTGCTTACAGGGTGTAATAAAATTTTTTGGCTGTCTATAAACTATAAGTATTATATGGCCCAATTCTCTCTTTGTCTCTCTCTCCCTCTCTTTTTCTCTCACTCTCTCTCTCTCTCTCTAATCTTTCCTTTTCCAGCGAACGATGCGGGCGGGTATGCTATTCGGATTGGTCGTGATGGTGGTTGGGCTCGCCAGGCATGAATTAAAATTTATATTAGCACAACTAATTTAATAAATAATTAATTAATAATGGTAAAGCGTCATTTTTGGAAGTACCCTAAACGCTGATTTTCAGCTTTGCCCGGGCCGCGCCCACCGAAACGGAACTGCTGCTTGCCGGGCCAGGTGGGTTTCAGACAAAATTTTTTTGGGGTGAGAATGGAAATAAAAATAAATTACTGGCATTGACAAAAGGTATTTTTTATCTTTAAAATAAAATATTAATTTTTAACAAATTATTGGACTTCTTTTATTAGCTTAAATTGCCTCGTTATTTGTTGGCTTTGATTTTAGTTAAAAGATGAAACGAGAGAGAGAGAGGGAGAGAGAGAGAGAGAGAGAGAGAGAGAGAGAGAGTGAAAAGAAAGTCAAACTTAGCTATCCTACCACTAAAAACTTTAAAAAATTGCAGAACAACCCCCACTCCCGGCCGGTATGCTCCCCTTCGACGAGGAGGCTCGCGACGAGGCCGTACTAGGTAATAATATCGTCGATAGGAGCGTTGAAGCCCCAAGTACAGTACGCCCCAAAACAAAAATCACCAAAAGACGCATCAAAAAACGGCGGCTACGCAAAAGAACTAGAACCAATCGTCAATTGGACAAAATGGAACCCAAGAAACCACTGCCAGAGCTCGAAAGCCCCTCTCAAGATTACCTAAGAACCATCGTTGAAAAGATTCTCTCAAAATTCGAGAGCAGCCTCGTGGAGGAAAAATCTGGCCAGGGGATCTTTGCGGAAATCGAGCAGAGAACTACCGTATCTGAGGATTTTTCCACGCCGCTACCCACCACAACCGCCGCTTTTACGAAAATTATGCGCCGAAAATCGAAAAAGGGACGTAGAAAGGGAACGGTAGCGCCGATTATGGTAGCTGAACGAAAAGAAGGCAAGAAAACAGCTTCAAAATTCAATAAAAAATTCCAAAAACGCCCAGTTCCTAGCTTTAAAATGACCTTAACCCCTACTGTAATCCCCGGCAAAAAGGTGGCGCTGATTTTGGCGGATCCGCCGGTGCCTAAGAGCGAGAATTTCGGGCTTGAAGCAAAAATTTTGAAACGAAAATTTAAATCGAAGAAAGGGGCGAAATCTGTACGTAGAAGTACTAATGCCGTAGCGCAAGTAAGCACTACAACAAGGCCACAAACTACAAAAATCCCAATCTCAGACACGACCCTTCTCGTCCTGCTAAACGACACTATAACCACCGTACCCCGAAGGTCCGAGGGAGGGGCGGTAAATAGGAAAATAACGGAAATTCCGGCCCCTAAAGCCAAAAAACCGGTCGCGACCGATACGGAAATCCGGAAGAAGAGAGATGCGGTACCGGAGGCCGGGAAATTCGAGCCGGAAGCGGATACCTTTTCCGATAAAGAAATCGTCAAATATTTTGAAGAAAATTTGACTACGCAGCCGCCTATGGACACGGTCACTTTTGAGGAAATCAGCGTGGGGGATACGGTGGCGAGTACGGTAGCGACGGACGTAGCTAGGGAAGAGACTTCAGAAGTTACGCTCGGGCAGAGAGACCTGGATTTTACGACTACAGTAGCCCCGACCACGATGGCTCCTATGGACGAGGTTACGGTAGCTTTGCCGGATTATTCTGATGAGGTCACGACGATAAAGAATTCTGAAAAAGATACGACTACCGTAGATCCGCTATCAGAGATTACGGTAGGACCCCCATCTGAAGAAGAGCTCGCTGAAGCCGATGCCATCGTAAAAATCAAAGAAGAAGCCCGGAAAAAAGCTGAGGACGAATTCTACCGAACTAGTACGATCGCTACGACCACTACGACCGCCGAGAAATTGAAGCCGTACACCGGGACCACGCGGAACCCGACGTTATTTAGAGTTTTCCAAGACCAAGAGCTCGATTGGGAGCGGAATCCGGTGAATATGAAGCCAAGATTTGTCGGTAGATTTACCCTAGAAGAAGAACGGCCTGAGAAGCTCGAGAAAGCAGTAGCAAAAATCGTCAAAGCGGTGCACCCCGTACTCAAGAAAAATCCGATCCTAATTGAGGCTGACGTAAGAGGGCTTAAATCCCAGAACCCGAACCTAATCGTCCAGGAAATCGATTCCGCTATGAGGGCACTCCCCCGAGTACCTCAAGCAGTTCAACCACTTCCGCAGCAATACTATCCACAGACCGTACGTCCGGTCTTGAACGCACCGGGCCAAATTACGCAACAGTTCTATCCACAGACCGTACGGCCGGTGTACAATGGACTGTGGAATCAGGAAGTTCAAGGAGGTCAAGCACAGCCTCAATTTCAAGGAGTTCGACCTCAGCAACTCGTTCCGCAATTCCAGGAGCCGGTTTTAGGTATGATTCCAGCAAGATTCCCTAGTTTACCTACCGTACAAAACGTACCTACCGTACAAAACGTACCGACCGTAGCTAACGTTCAAAACGAACCCAACGTACAAAACGTAGCTGCTGTACGAAGCGTACCAAACGTACAAAACATCCCCAACGGACAGAACGTACCGCTTACCGTAACCCCCCGCCCACTACGAGCCACACCTAAAGACACGAGATCTCGCCGTGGCTCCTCCCACTACAAACCTCCCAGCTCCCAACAAGCTAATGAAATCCTGGCCATCATCTCCGAGCTCAAAAAGGCCCAAGCCGGCCAAGCCAAGCCCCAGAGCTTCAGTGTTTTTACGACTACGAAGCAGTCCTACTTCATCCTCCCCAGTGGCAGAGTATTGGTCGTAGCGGAGGAGTCGAGACTGGCGAAGCACAAGCTCGAAGACCCAGACAAAGTTCGAGAAGCCCCGAGAGGAAAACGGATGCTGATCCGGGACAATGAGCACCACATTCATGATGGATATATGAGAACTCCGGAGGAACGAGAGGCTAGGGAGCTCGAGCTTGAGACTGAGGCGAAGCTGAGGGCGGCATTCGGGGACGCGGCCATTGATAGGTAGGGAGGGTGAAACTTTGGCTTGGGTTTTTGGATTGAGCTTACCTGGTTTATCGATGAAGCTTGCTTCATCGGCTTAAGCCTAACTAAGTAACTGCCGAAGCTGGATTTACCTACCCGCTTAATGAAGAAGATTACTTCATCGGCTGAGACATAACTAACTTACTGATCAAGCTGGCTTCCCGAGTCTGGCTTTCTGGCTTGACTTACCCGGCTTGCTGAAGAACCTTTTTTCACTGGCTTAAGCTTGCTCGAAGCCGACTTAGCTTCTCTGGGAGGCTACTTTGGAACTATCCGACTACGGGGAGGCGGCTTACGAGCCTCCCGGGCTGAGCCACCGCAATTATCGAGCAGGCAGGTTATTGGGCTTACCTGGCAAAGCTTGACTTGGCTGACTTCCCGGGTCGATACGCTTGACTAACTTTACTTACTGCCGCCGATGAAATCAAAGAATGTGAAGCCGACCTATTGCACTGACTGATTTACGCTAACCCTACAGCTTGGTGGGCCCTTACACGACTTACCTGGTTTAACTTAACTGCGGTGAGCTGACTTGCAAAAAAAATTTTATTTACCTTCTAACGATTTTCATAGTGCATAGGCTACAGTTTCGATTTAGTCCTAAAATTTAGCGTCTCGCCGTTGCCAATCGCTGCTGTCGCACCTGCCCTCTCGCGGTCGACGGGCCGTCTGCAACCGGCTGGCGACGAGGTTGATGTACAAGTCAGTGTTTTTAAAGGAGTTGTAAAGGCTGATGGTCACATTAAGAGAGACTTAGATATATCTCTATTTAACTAATTTTGATCTGGGCTGCGGATTAGCCACGAATTTATGTTTAGATGCAATAAATCTGACTAAAATCCTAGCAGACGCCTTTCCAGGGTCTAAACACCGAAGCCCCGCCCACGCTGCTACCACAAAATGTTGATGGCCGCGAGGATACGGTAAGAATTTTTGTGTTATTCTTGTTTTATCGAAAAAAATTTTCTCTATTTGCACTTTGTCCACCAGAAATGAGAAAAATCAGGATTTTTGCGTATTTTGCAGTGTGTTTAAGCTTAGGATTAGGCTTAGGCTTAAGCTCAGGCTTAGTTTTTTAACATATCTTATGACTAAGATTTCAAGCACTGAGACTTTTGAAGCAATCACCATTTTGCAGCAATTCCCTCAACGTCTCCCAAGCTCTGGGCGAGGGGTTCGACTTCGCCTGGTCCGCCTCTACAACTAAACACTTCCCCAAATGTTAATTTATTGCTTGAATCCCTATTTATTTGTTTTAAAGTCACATTTCAAGTCGAATCTCATCCGAAAAAGTACCAAAATTCGCAGTGTTTTCGTTTCTTCTACCGTACGCAATAAATCTGGTACTCGTTTATCCGCAATATCACAGGAAACCAGCAACGGGAAATTGCACAAAATGACTGAAAAAATTAAAGGGATCGTTAAGGTAAGGCTATAAATTTTATTAGCTTTTTAATTGATAAAAATATGGCCAAAATCCATAGTTGCCTTGACGGCCCTTTTTAATTAACATTTCTAAGCTATAAAAAACCAATAAAACAAGGCTGAATTCAGGAAAAAAATGCAAATATAGTCCTCAAACCGTTTGCCTAGCATATTGGCACGATGAGGAAGTAGTAGTAGACACAGAATCGAGGGTCGAAGAATTGGCTTAAGCTTAGCTTAGGCTTAGCTTAGGCTTAGCTTAAGCTTAGCTTAAGCTGAGCTTAGGCTTGGCTCAAGCTTAGTTTAGCTTAAGCTGAGCTTAGGCTTAGAGAACTAAAAGAAAGTATGTATTGTCCAGTCGTTTTTAAGTTTTTAAGGCAACTTGCCATGGGCGTTAAGCAGAGGGCGGAGATGGAGCAAAATTTTTGGGGGTGAGATTCCAGTCAAACTGCCGAAAAAAATAACGAAAAAGTGTATTAAAAATGCAGATTTTTGATGAAAAAAATTGCCTAAATTTCCGTAAGCACTGGGGGGGTTCTGGGCGCCGGGCGAGATTCGTCGGAATTCGTGGGGGGGGGGGGGTATATATACACTCGGAAGTCGATAAAAATCATAGAAACTACAGTTTAGATTCAAATTTTAGACAGAAACATGGAGAGCGGTGGTCCGTAGTCTACAATTTTCAAGCTACAAAATAGAAATACAAATCTACGGGTTTTAAGGAGGTGTAGGTAGAAGGATAGGCTGTAGTTTGTAGTAGGTAGCTTCAATTTAGCTGATGAGCTTGCTGATGCGCTTGGCACAGCTCGATGGCCATTCGAGCCGGTTGAGGAAGTGCTGCGGGTGGGGCGCATCCTGGAAGAATGAGTTTTAATAGGATTAGACTTAGGCTTAGGATTCGGCTTAAGCTTAGGCTTTGGCTTAAGCTTAGTCATGCCCCCAACCTGCTCGAAATACGGCACAATCGGGCTCCAGAAGCTCCACGACAGCAAATTGCGCTCCAGCTGGTTCTCGTGGTAGGACAGGGCCAACGAGTGGTACTCCATGAACACTCGCGACGAGACGGTGTAGCTAAATTCGAAAATTATACATTATTTGACTTGCCGGCGCCTTTAAAAGCGGAAAAATTGATTGACGGGGTGCTACTTCGTTAGCGGGGGGGCGGCGCAATTCCCCCCCCCCCCCGCTAACGAAAAAGAACCCAGAAAACACAAGATTCTTGGCTTGGCGGTCCCTTTAAACCCAAAAATTTCCTCTCACCCCAACACAACGTCGATCATGTAGTGCTTCCTGGCCAACAGGATCGAAGCGATGGCGCAGAAGGCGAGCACGTGGAAGAGGTACCCGACCGGCTTCAGCTTCTTAGGCGCGTAGTGCTTGAAGGTGAACAGCGACGTGAAGATGGTCAACGTGTGCCCGGAGACGATCAGGTCTCCGCATAGCTCGCGTGGCCGCAGCTGCTCAATGCCGGCCGACCAGAACATGCGGGCGACGCGGCCTGAAAAAAATAGATCGGGATAACACGTTTAAAAAGGTATCTTGATACATGAAGTTGATTCCCAAGACTTAAGCATGGTTTTCTAACCTTTATATGTATTTTTATGACTAAAAATATATAGTAAGGCTTGTAAACTAGTCTAAAATCAATTCCCATACTTTCCTACAAAAAGCAAAAAGTGCTGTCATCCGCAGGATTCGAACCTGCGCCCTCCGAAGAGGACTGCGACCTGAACGCAGCGCCTTAGACCACTCGGCCAGAATGACATGAGGGTGGGAGGACGGGATGGGGCCTATAAGCCCACAGCCCGCGACCCTAGAGAGTGGGAAAGACAGAGAGGGCCCAGACGCGGCGCGGTGGGGCAGGGGCTGCAGAGACCACATTTTTGAGGTTTTTTGAGTTTTTAAAATTTATTAAAAATACTGATAAATTCAGACTTAATTTGCTATACTAATAAAAATAGCATTGATAACTTACCAGCAACAATTTCCCAGCCTCCAGCCGTTTTTGGGGCACAATAGGTGTTCACCGATGGGACGGGAACCTGAAAATGGTCAAAATAATGGTTATTATGGTTTTTAAGGAATATTATAAACGTAATTTCACAAGCTTACCTGGAAAATGGTGACGCAAAATGCTCGGAAGCAATAGGAAACGGCTGCGCAGAAGAACACTCGGCGAGCGACGATCCACCTGAAATTTTGGGTTGTAGAGGGAAACTGAAGTAGGCTTAGCCTTAAGCTTGGGCTTAGGTTTAGGCTAGAGCTTATGAACCAACCTGTGTTGGTGACAAAACACAATAATAAAGGCATTAATGACCAAGATGAGCATGATGTATTCGGTTATCCGGATAGCGCCACGAACCTGTAAAATTGAGGTAGAAGGAGAGAGAAAGCGAGAGAGAGATAGCGAGAGATAGAGAGAGACAAAACTTCTTCAATACCTCGGGGAACCAGGAGAACCACATATCCGGCAGCGGGTCGACATTTCGGGGTACTCGTTCGTGAATCCACGCCAGGGCCACTTCATTCAGGAACCAGCCAAGAGCCTAAAATGGCATTTAAAGGAGCTTGCAAGGCAAAAGAATTTTTTGGAGTCTAATTGGAAATATTAGTTTTAAAAATTGACGATTTTAGGGCGTAATCGGACAGCCTAGAGCGTTAATTTATCGTGGCCACTTAACAAAATAATTTAATTGTAAAATAATGATTTTATCAAAGTTGAAATCACTCACCACAAGTCCAAGAGCTACAAAAGTGGGCGCCCGGCGTACGATGTGCTCCTTCGAGATGGCGTACGGCAAAATGTCCTTCTCCTTCTCGCCCAGCATCTGGAAATTGGGTCTCGTGAATTTGCATAAATTCGAATTGCAAGAGAACAATAAAAACAAGTAAAAGCGGCCACAAAAAGTTACAAAATTAGCTGACTTAAATGCAAAAATTATCTAAAATCAACTCCAATTTTTCAAGGACCAAGAACTCTTTGGAGAGAATTTGAATCTTTAGGTGAATTTAATCTACATTAATAATAAAATACAGCAAAATATATCTAAAATTGGACATTGTACAAATTTGTACCCAGAGAAATTCCATTTTTCCCGCGTTCAAGCTGCCCTTTTTGGGCCGTGTACCTTTAAAAATTAGCCCCAGCGCCAGAGGGGCCGATTTCGTTAGCCGACCAATCATCAATGTAGAAATAATTTTCTGTATATTTATTTGTGTAGCAAAGAAATAAATCTTGGCGAATAAAAAAACTACCAAAAACTTAAATACCGCAAAAAATCGTAATTTCGCCGGAAAATCGGAAAAAAAATTGCGTAATCAAAAGAACAAAAAAATCGGCGGATATACTGTATTTTCTTCACTCTCTAAGTCGTTATATTTTATGAAAATTAGCATAAAAGTTGCAAAAAAGAAGCGAAAATCGCTTGAAAAACGCCATAATTTTTTGCATGAAAAGCGTCTAAAGCGTTCCTATAAAATTTATTTTAAATTCAAGCGTTGTAAAAACTGTCTTAGAAGCATTTAGACAAATTTTTGAGAGCCTATTTATCCGATGGGACGCTAAATCTTTCAGGTACGGTAGCTTTTCCTACATTTCTCACGCACAGCTGCAAACCTTCACCAAAGACCACCACCTCCTGTCAGCTCGCCCTAATAGCTTTCCGGGAGAGAGCCTCAGAAAAACTAATGAAAATTGGGCCCAACCGGAAAAAAGGCTAACTTGAGATTGATGCGGATCTGCGGCCTCGGGTTAGAAAGCTAAAAATGAGAAATGACAGAAATATACGTCAAGCCCTGCGATTTTGATGCCGATGTTTCGGTATTTTGGGCTGGGATTCCGATCTCTCTCTCTCTCTCTCTCTCTCTCTCTCTCTCCCTCTCTCACTCTCTCTCTCGCCTAATAATATGCCCTCCGGCGATTCGAATAGGTTACGGCCCCATAAATAAGCACGTAAATACAAAGGGCAGAAATCGAACGAAAAGTAATGGCATTAAGGTATTTGCACATTACCAAGATGAAGCCCAAGCCTAAACCTAAGTCTAAGCAAAACCTAAGCCCAAGCTAAGCCCAAGCCCAAGCCAGGTCGATGCATAGCCAAGTCTACGCAAAGCCAAGCCTACGCAGAGCCTAAGCCTAAGCAAACTTCCATGCAAAATAGCTGTGGCAAAAAGAGACCTTTACAGAATTTTTATTTTTTAGTGATTAGAAAATTATATTTTTGGAAAATTAATCTACCTTGACCTTTCCAAAAAAGATAAAAAGTGAGCCTGAACTCTGGGACTCCACAAAGATCTACCGTCCATTATTCCGGCCGGATTAATTGCCGATTATTTAGGGGCGGTCTCTTGCTCTCTCTCGCTCTCTCCCTCTCTCTCGCTCTCTCTCTCTCTCCCTCTCTCTCTGCATGATTCAGAAGGCTAATCCCTATTTTAGCGCGGAGTGTGGTACGCTATTTTGTGCCGGGCCATTCTCTCTGCCGTTTGAATGGGCCGAGCGTTGCTAGGAACGCTCCAAGCACGAAATACAACAACATCGGCATCAGATGGCAGAGCATCTTAAGATTTCGACATTGCAAACGATAAGAAAGTTATAAGTTGGCTTAGTAATTTTTTAAAACTTTGAATGGTGTAGCATGAGAATTCCAGCGAAAATACCGACATCCATCATCTCAGCGGTCAAAAATGCCGACATTCAAGATCCAGACAAAGGACATCGTGACATCCAAAATACCGACAATCAAAAATACCGACATAACCTTACAGACATTTCGGATTTCG